CCCCGTGGGGATGCCTTGTTTGCAGTTAAAGCCAACATTTTCCTGTCAATTGCTAATGAAGTGGCCCATTTTCTTAACCGATATCAGACAGACATGCCAATGTTACCATTCCTGGCAACAGATATGTTTCAACTCATCTTCAATCTTTTAGAAAGATTTGTGAAAGAAGCAGCCTTGGCTGAAATGATATCAACAGCTAAGCTGAACCAGCTAGATTTAACGAAAAGGAAAGTTACCCTTGAGGAACTGGATAACTTAACAAAGAAAAGAACTAAAGCTAACATTGAGGCCCTGTTGAAGTCTGCTGACCAAGTTGCAGAAGAGGCAGAGTCCACTGGGTAAGTAACTCATTTCTAAGTCAAATGCAATGAGACGAAGCGCTGAAGAGAAAGAAGGAGAGTTGAAGTCCATCGAGGAGGCAATAGACAAGAAACTTGAAGCTCTAAAAAACTAGTTCTTGCATGATGAAATAGCTACTTCACACACTAATGGCAAAAACCCAAGAACTTTGTTGAAAAAGTGTACTGTTGAAAATTGTTTTGAGAACTGAGGTACTTGCTTTCTGGTAGAAATTTAGTATACTGCTATAGTTTGGTTGTGTCGCTGTAAGTTAAGAACTAATCAGCTGAAACTGAATTTTTTTAAATTGATTGTTTTCATAGTTATGGCAGTTATTTCTTCTTAGGCCACGAAGAATCTCACTGTTACCCTGAGTCTGGAAAATAAAAAAAAATGGCCTGGAAAAAGTTTTGAATTCTGTTCACAAAAAAGTGTACGAACCCGGAGTCTCCCGCTTCCCGTGCCACGCTCTTCCTCCTCTCTTGTTTGTGTGCCCCCTTGCCTCCCGACTCCCGCCCTCCATTGTGTTGCTCCCGTCTTCAGGTTAATCAAGAGGATCAGAAACCCGGGTTTAACTTTCAAACAGAGCTAAAAGTTAATGTTCTTGTTAATTTCGGCTGGCCTTTGTTTTGACTGGGGATCATTAGTTCCCGATGAAAGCTACTACAGGTCAGTTTTCTCACTAAACTAAGTTACAATAACCGGGTTACGGTATCACAGTTTGATCGTCGCTTCTGACATCTCGTCATAGAGACGAAAGTCTCAGCTCACTTTGTAATGTAATAGCTATTGCCAATTCAAAATCAAATTAAAAAATCAAGAGGTAGACGTAACGTTTAGAGTTTGCTTCTTCTGTATTCATGCTTGATTTCCCTTTTTGAGGTAAGTAGAACTAAGTATTCGTAGTTAGTACATCAATTGTCGAACCGTTTGCATTTCTGAATTTTTGTATTTATTTGACAACGCTTCACCAGTACCAAATAAACTAATGGTGATTCCTCTCCTAAATCGTCCTACTTCAAAAGTTGAAAAATGTAGGGATCTTTTGCTTGAGAGAATTAAAGTGCAACAGAAATCTAGATTGCATGTGAAAGTTAAGTCTTTCTCTGCGTTTGGTACGAGGTTTTGGAACTGTCTAAACCCTGACCTGCGTAAGTTCACGAAAAGAGCATTTAAAAGGAAAATTCATAAGTTGCTTTTGACAGGCTATACTTGGGATTGAGGACTATTATGTTGACGCCCATTCACTAATATTGAAATTCAATACCAATGATTATCGAAAATTA